CCTCTACATTCCCCCCCCCCATTTTTTTTATTAAGGTATTTTGTGTACATATCTTACCATTGCCCCCCCCCACTCCCATACATGCCCTCACCTCCCAGAATTTTGCTTATATGCATGCATACAATTATGCTTATATGAATGCATACAAGTTATGCTTACATGATGCATACAAGTTATGCTTACATGCATGCATACAAATCCTTAGGTTGATCTCTTATCTTCCCCACCATCCTCTAGTTTTTATTTTATTTATTTTATTTTTTTACAGAGAGGAAGGGAGAGGGATAGAGAGTTAGAAACATAGATCAGCTGCCTCCTGCACACCCCCTACTGGGGATGTGCCAGCAACCAAGGTACATGCTCTTGACCAGAATGGAACCTGGGACCCTTCAGTCCACAGGCCAGCTGAGCCAAACCTTTAGGGCCTTCCTCTACTCTTTAATCTCCATATTTGGGGAGCTCCATGTTCCCCCTCCCCAACTTGTGTTGCGTTGGGGGCTTTGAGATGAAGATCAGTGGGCTGACCACCTGAGTTTTTAGAGGGTTTATAACCTGCATGGTTTATAAATTTTTTTCTGTTTCATTGCAGTTACATCTAGACTAACATATTCCTGAAAGTTTGAGAGGGACAATGATTAAGCTGTGCATGGGGTCTTTGATGTTGTACCAGCTCTCAGGTGAATGCTAATGGCACCCGTGCACATGGATTGTGGCCATCTGTTGGTTTCCCTGTGCTTTCGAAATGCACCAGTGTGTTTTTGACTGTGCTAGCTTCGTTTTAGGAGTGGCTAATTCCTTTTCTCACTAATTCCTTTTCTCATCTTTGTTCCTATAGCGTTTCACTTACAGTTCTGTTCTACTTCTTGATTTTATTTTAGTCCATTTATTTAGCTTTCCACTGCCGTTATTTATGTACCCATGTCAGTATCTCTCCTTAGACAATGAGGACAATATTTTGAAGGTCAAGCTGGTGGCTTGTTTTTATATCCCCTGCAGGCTGTGCTTGTGGTGGGGACTTCAGAAGTGTCTCAAATTAAAGTGCTTGGGAGAGTAGACTTGGAGGAAAAAAAAACCTTAGAGTGGTGGCCAGCTTAGCTATCTGAAAGATGCCGTGGTGTGTGGCTCCAGGGGACAGACCGTGGATGGACGGAGAAAGGTTGAAATGAGGCAGAATTTTATTCCACATAAAGAAGGCTCTTTCTAACCACTAAGGTGTTTACAGTCACTAAGGGCTGCTTTGTAAGGTGGTGACTGTCTGACTGACTGCATTCAAAACTGACACATGCAGTCAGATCCCAGCACAAAGGGGTGCCTTACAATAGGAACACTTGATTTTGCATGAAAGGAGGCTGACATCACATGATTTCTTGAATACCAGTATTCCTTTGTAGATTTAAAATAGTGTTTCCTCTGCAGTATTCACCTCAGTCGGAGTTTCTCAGGGACACATCTTTCCGTGAGTGAGGTGCCGTTACAGCTGATTGAGCCTCAGCTGAGCAGCATGTCATGCTCGAGTCTTTTATAACAGAAGGGCCTGATGTCTGTCCCAGTTTCCAGAGCAGCGTGTCTGTGAGAAACCTGTCATATCAGCTTCCTTGCTCTTTAGCAGCGGAGGTGGAAGCAGTGCAGAGAGGCCACAAAAGCCCGTGGGAACGTCTCCCACGCAGGCCGCGTCCCTGAGTGCTCTGCTCCAGCACGTGCCAATAGGCTGCAGAAAACCCGTCCCCACGTTCGCTTCTTGTTTCCTTTGTGTACCTCCTCCTGCTGCACCGTGTGCTTCAAACGAGGGATCAGGCTCTCGGAAAGACTCTGGGAAAACTCCAAGTGGATTATGGAGCTTTGAATGCTAATTCCTGCGTGGTTTGTTGCTTCACAAATTTAATGGGCTGGAGGTCCTGACACCTCTTGCTGCGAATTCCTTCCAAGGCTTTAAAATAGGGGTTGTGGTTGAGAGGCTGAATAAATAGCACCTCTCTTCATTGTGTGAGTTATTGATTGACTACTAAGACCAAGACTAAAGCAGAGCCCGGCTGGTGAGGCTCAGTGGGTGAGCATAGACCTAGGAACCCGGAGGTCCAGGTTACATTCCCAGTCAGGGCACATGCCCAGGTTTCTGGCTCGACCCCTAGTAGGGGGCGTGCAGAAGGCAGCCGATCAATGATCCTCTCATCATTGATGTTTCTCTCTCTTTCTCCCTCTCCCTGCCTCTCTGCAATCAATAAAAATATATTTTTAAAAAAATGATAAAGCAGGGTTTGGGGATATGGTGTGTTTCTTCAGGGAAGTGCACCTTGATGTAATCTGTACTGCCAAAGTAGACACAGCCACCAGGCGCTGGCAGGCCTCCCTGTGGGCAGAGCAGAAGGCATGACCTCTGAAGGTAACTCACTCCCAGGAGAAGGTGGGAAAGGAAGCACCTGGGCTGTGCCCGGTTCTACTTCCAAATTTACCCATTAGATTAGTCACTCCTCATCTCAGAGGAGGAATCAGAAACAGGGTAGGAGGGTAGAGAGTGGCCAAGGGTGGCACAGTGATGGATATTCCTCCTCAAAGAAGGAACTGTCATGAGGGCAAAGAAGCTTTCTCTTCCAGAAAGAAGTTATAAAGTCGAGAGGGAGCACAACTTGTTTAGTGCTGGTTGCAGCACTGCAAGATGATCTGGACTGCAGGGGTTTGGGTGCGGAGTGATAGGAGGTCAGGGAAGTGGTATGGTCCCAAACTGGGGAAGGACTGCTGCTCTCTCACAGGTAGAGGTGGGAAGGACCAACACCAGTCGGTCACTCTTTGACAGGAGCATCCCCAGCCAAGGTTTTTCCCCTTGTGCTCTCCCTACTCCTGACTGTAGGGTGACTGTGATTTGCACTCTAGCAGCCCTCCCAAAGCCTAGAGGGAAAGGCCAAGGAAGTCACAGGGGCCGTGGCCCTGAACATCCCAGAGGGAAGGGGACATGGGGAATGGGGAATGAATGGTAAAGGGAAGTGTTAGGGAGGGGCTCCTTTTGGGGTGATGGTTGCAAAATTCTGTGAATCTACTAAATATCACTGTAGATTTAGTATATGTTGAACACTTTAAAAGGGGATATTTCATATTATATAAATTATATCTCAATTTTCTGAAAAGTCACACACACACACACACACACACACACACACACAAAGGAAAGCAAAATACTCTCAGGTGCTGCTGGTCCATGGACCACTCTTGGAGCAGGAAAGAGCTGGATCAGATGTTTCCAATTTTTTCTGTTTACTTCAGTTGCATGCGCTTACTTTTCATGATGCTTAATATCAGGCAGCGCATCACTGTTGAGGAACTCAGAGGGGAATTTGCACAGTTCAGTGGTGACCAAGCCTTCAACTCTGTATGGGCCTCCCAGGATCTTCTCACTCTGAGGGTGAACGACCGTACACTTGCCCAGTTACGCTGTTTTCTCTCCTGTTTTGTCTCTCTTCTACATGGTCTGAAAATTTTCTTGAGTTTTTTTTTTTTTTTTTTTTTTTTTTTTGCACTTTCTTTGATATCTGCTAGCTAATGTCTTTCCTTCCATCTATATAACAGATTCCCTTTCAGATCAATTCCTCCACCTTTTATATGTAGCACTTAAAATATTTGTATAGCCCTACAAAAACTCAATTTGTGAGATTATCTTGTCTTTATTGCTTTACTACTCTTTTTCTTTACATTCTTTTGGTGCTACAGTACACTATCATTAGGAGACCAATGAAATCCCTTATTATAAATCCATTTAGAGAATTACATAAAATTACCTAACCCACTGAATCCTTCTGTATTTTCTTAACCAGGCTCAATTGCTGTATATTGAAGCAATATCTTTTGCCTGATTAATTCCCTGTGATTTCCCAAGTTTTTTCTTCTAATTTTCCCCCCAAATGATATATAATTTAAATTCAGTAACAGTCACTTCTTTTTTCTTTTTTTAAAACAAATATATTTTATTGATTTTTCACAGAGAGGAAGAGAGAGGGATAGAGAGTTAGAAACATCGATGAGAGAGAACCATCGATCAGCTGCCTCTTGCGCACCCACTACTGGGGATGTGCCTGCAACCAAGGTATATGCCCTTGCCCGGAATCGAACCCAGGACCTTTCAGTCTGCAGGCCGACACTCTATCCACTGAGCCAAACCGGTCCCGGCACAGTCACCTCTTTTAAAAATAATTTTATTGATTTCAGAGAGGAAGGGAGAGGAGAGAGAGAGCTAGAAACATCAATAATGCCTCACAATGGGGATTGAGCCTTCAATCCAGGTATGTGGCCTGACTGGGAAACAACCGTGACCTCCTGGTTCATAGGGCAGCGCTCAACCACTGGGCACCACTGGGCAACACAGGCTGGGCTAACATTCACCCTTTTTAGCGAACAGTTTCATGGGGTTTGAAACATGCAGACGGTCATGTAACCGCCGCAGTGGAGATATACAGAGCCATGCCATCATCCCCCAGAGTTCCCTGGTGCCCCTTTGCGCTCCACTCTCCCCTCCCAGACCTTGGCAACTGATGCTTCCTGTCCCTGTAGTTTGCCTTTTCCAGAATGTGGTATTCACATTAAAACAGAAACATTTTATTACATTTCAACTTGGATTTAGTCCTTGTCTTTAAAGAAGGAATTCTAAGAGCTGAGGACAGGTAAATGTGATGTCAGATATACTCAACTGACCTTGCAATAAGCATTTGATTTTAGTTAGCATTTTAAAATAGACTAAATATACTCTTTGGCATTTTATTATACTTTGAATGAAATATTAAAATAAAATGAGATATTCAGGTTACTAATTTTTTCCCAAAAGCAATCTTCCCTTTACCTTTTTATTTTACAAGAAAATAAAAATTTACAACACATTTTGAATATATTCAGACATTAAAATTTTGTTCATTTCATTTATGTACTATTGAATAAAATAGATGAAAATTAAGTTAGGAAATATATGATTTTATAAAAAGTAGACAAGCTGACTTTATTTTTATCTTTCTTTTATACAGGTGTCTGCTTCAGGATGGTAAGTCAACACAATCTGCTTTTGGTGTGTGTGTGGGGGGGTGCATTTTTTTCTCCCACAGTTATTTCGAATCACAAACATAAAGCAGCTTTCTACTTAGTACTGGCCTATTGCTTATTTCCCATCCTTGACAGCAAATAAAAATGTATTTTTATTTCTTCACATACACATTACTGGTTGAGATTTTTATTAGAGCTGGCTTTACAAAGTATATTAAAAACATTACAGTGTTCTTAGCCTTTAGCTAATATTTTCTGTGAATTTCAAAATACCTCTCTGGAGGTGGTTACGTTAAACCTTTTGATTAGGTATGTTAATACAAAATATGGGATCTTCCACTTGTTCTGGATGGAAGAAACCCTCTACCCAAGGGCACGTGTCTCGAATTGCATAATGATACGTGCTCTTGTTGCATAAGGTAGTGGTCCCCAGGTTTTTACACTTTAAAACTACTTGTTGCCTTTAAAAGCTTGATTTTGTTATCATACTCCTTTCCTAAAAGTTAAATGTGACTTGTGTTTTCACTGACTTATCTGAGCTGGCAGACACTAGGCTAGGTCTCTGTTCCTAACCTCTGAGTACTCAAACATGTTCCACCTGTATGTCTCCACATTTTGAGATAGGTGTATCCTCTACAGGTCAGGTTTCTCCTGCTTCGTTATTACCTATGAGAGCTTGACTTATTTTCAAAACCAGCTCTTACATCACCCTACCATCTTGGTCTGCGTTGCTTCATATTGTGTGGAACGTAGAGAGAGAACGTAGAGAAGACCCTGGCTTCCAAACAGAAGAACATGTTTTTAAAAAGTTCTAGTAGTTAGAATGGGTCCACAAGAATTTTAGTATGATGTAGTTAAAATGACTCAAAATAAAAATTTTGCTAGGTTTTGCCCTGGCTGGTGTGGCTGGTTGGGCATCACCCAGTGCACCAAAAGGTTTGCAGTTAGATTCCTGGTCAAGGCACATGCCCAGGTTTCAGACTCGATCCCCAGTAGAGGGAGTAAGGAGACAGCCCATCGATGTTTTGCTCTTACATCGATATTTCTTTCTCTCCCTCTCCCTTCCTCTCTTTCTCTAAAAATAAATTTAAACAAAATTAAAAAAAAAAATTTCTAGGTTTTTATTTGCCAGTAGCATAAGTGAATTTGGAACTAAGAAAAGAACTAAAAACACACACAACCTATTAAGAATAATAGGAAGCCCTAGCTGGTTTGGCCCAGCGATAGAGCATCAGTCTATGGACTGAAGGGTCCCGGGTTCAATTCTGGTCAAGGGCACAGGCCCAATTTTTGAGCTCGATCCCCAGAAGGGGGCGTGCAGGAGGCAGCTGGTCAATAATTCCCTCTCATCATTGATGTTTCTATATCTGCCTCTCCCTTCCTTTCTAAAATCAATACAAATATATTTTAAAAAAGAATAATAGGAAAAGTAAATTTACATAGAGAATTATAACATTTGTTATAATTCAGAAAACAACAGAATATTTTAATCCAGTACTTTACTATTGCTTATACCTAAATCATCATTTGAAACCCAGATTAACAATGTAATTTTGTGTTAGCTAATGCAAAGGAATGCAACTGAATTTTATGAATCCCCAAACACATCATAAAAACTGTGTTTTGAAGTAATTCCCAGGATTAGTTATTTTCTCACAGCATGCTTGTCTTTACTGAAAGTGGAATTTAACAAAAATTCCACTTAAGTGAAGTTTCTTATAAATAGACGTATTAATTACTGTTGTTCAGTTGTACAATTTTAGGAAAAAGTTATCAGCTTAGTGCTTGTTGAACGTTAGAATCAAGTGCTATGAATTCTGACTTTTGATGCTGGACTTTCTTTCGTTTTCTCCTGGAACCAGTACACAGAAGGCGAGGCTAAGAAGATAGGAGTGGTTGGCTGGGTGAAGAATACCAACAAAGGCACTGTGACAGGTCAGGTGCAAGGCCCTGAGGAGAAAGTCAACTCCATGTAAGTAGCAAGACCCATACCACACTCATGCACTTTATGAACTTATTTTAATGTTTCCTTGGATAGTAGGAATACAGCATCGATGTACCAAATTCGGTTTGCAGATTATAACTAAACTGACATGCTCTTTTAGGCAGACCAACAAAGAAATTCTCAGAATTGGGAATGGAATTCTGCATTTAGGATTGGATTTCCCATGTGAACAGGCTCTCAAAAAGATCATTGGCACCACTCTCCAGTCTCTATGAATTGTGTTTTAATTCTCCTGTGACACGTGAGAAATATCCAGGATCCACATATCTCTCATTTGAAGTGGTTGTGATAGAAGCATATCCCTTAAGATGCTTGAAGTTCTTCCCCCCATCCCCAATATATTTTATTGATTTCAGAGAGGAAGAGAGAGGGAGAGAGAGATAGAAACATCAATGATGAAAGAGGATCACTGATCAGCTGCCTCCTGCATGCCCCCTACTGGGGATCAAACCCACTATCCAGGCATGTGCCCGATTGGAAATTGAACATTCAACCACTGAGCACACCAGCCAGGCTGAAGTTCTTTTTAAAAAAAAATATATTTTATTGATTTTGTACAGAGCGGAAGGGAGAGAGATAGAGAGTTAGAAACATCAATGAGAGAGAGAGTCATCGATCAGCTGCCTCCTGCACACCCCCCACTGGGGATATGCCCGCAACCAAGGTACATGCCCTTGACCAGAATCGAACCCAGGACTCCTCAGTCCCCAAGCCGACGCTCTATCCTTTGAGCCAAACCGGCTTCGGCAAGGCTGAAGTTCTTAAAGTAGCCTTCAAGGCAAAAAGATTATCATCTTTTTATTGTTTATTGAGATCTTGCTCCCAACATGTCATCAGTTTGGCTGAAATAAACGCATAAAAATTCTAAAAAAATAAATTAAAAAAATCTAATTGTAATTTTATTTTTACTATCAGTGAAAGTATGTTTAATGCACTCTATGGTTACCATAACATGAGTCCTTGCCCACCAAAGGAGATCAAATTCAGAAATACAGGAAAAAGTGCCCTGTCATTTTCAAAGGCCTTTTTCCCCCCCAGGTTTGTAAATTCTACTACTGTCTGCAGTCTTTGTAAAAAACTAAATAAAATAAATAGCTAACATTTATTGGACATATGCAATATGTTAGGCAGTATGCTAAACACTTTATATAGATTATCTTATGTAATTTTACAAGGGTCTTATAAGGGAGGTGCTAATTAATACCCAATGTATTTTCTTTCATTGTTTGCAATTTATCTTTGTTTTCACTGCTTAATATTTTCAGATTTAAAAAGCAATGCTTTTTTGTTTATTGTAATAGGTGAAATAGTAAGATACAGAGAGTATAAAAACAAAGCTGGTAATCTGCTCCCTTCCCCTCTGCTTCCTTCCCTTTGGGTAACCCGTGCCAACTTTCCAAAGCTTTCACTTTCATTTAAAAGTGTTTAAGCCTGACCAGTGTTGCTCAGTGGTCAGAGTGTTAGCCCATGCACCAAAGGGTCTCGGGTTCGATTCCTGGTCAAGGGCATGTACCTGGGCTACAGGTTTGATCCCCAGACCCAGTCAGGGCTTGTGAGGCAGCCAGTGGATGATTCTTGCTCACATTGATAATTCTTTCTCTCTCTCTCTCCCACACCCTTCCTCCCTTCCATTCTCTCTAAAAATCAATGGAAAAAATATCCTCAGGTGAGGATTAAGCACAAAAAAAGGTATTTAAGCATACATTTATAATTAGGGTTTTGCTTGCTTTTGCTGAAATAGAATACTTAATGCATATTTTTCTGTAATTAGTTTTGTTGTTTGATGGACAGTCATCAGTAAATGTATAACTACCAACTCCTTATTTTTCTCATTTTTTTTATTTATAGATACTTACTTGTGCTTGTCTGTAAAACTGCACCCCAACTTGAAAAGTGGGGTACAAATATTCAATATTATTAAATGTTAATGGAAAACAATATTTTTGGGAAGGATTGTCACAACATGCACAAAAGATTGTAACACTTATAGGATTTAATATTGTAAAGGACTAATAGTTCACTGCACAAGGAAATGTCAAATGACTAGGAGGGAGATTGAGGATGGGGACTCTGAAGGAGGGACACTCATGCCAATTATGTTAAATCCTAATCCATGTTGTAGCAGATTTCTGATTAACATCAGTGCAATTGTATTACACATTCTGCTCATTTTTTCTTCCTTGCACATCCCTGCCCCTCCCCCGTCACACTGCCAGTAATCCGTGCTAGCAACTTGGTGTATTTCCTTCTGTATTTGCTCCGTGCTCACTTTCATGTGCACGTGTCACACACACACACACACACACACACACACACACTGGGCGGCACATACTTTTGGGTTGTAATCAGTGTTTGTTTTTTAAAAATGGGATTATTATATATGCATTTCTCTGTATCTCACTTTTATCATTAAAAAATACACCCAGAGCCGAAACCGGTTCGGCTCAGTGGTTAGAGTATCAGCCTGCAGACTGAGGGGTCCCAGGTTCGATTTCAGTCAAGGGCATGTGCCTTGATTGCGGGCACATCCCCAGTGGGGGGTGTGCAAGAGGCAGCTGATCGATGTTTCTCTCTCATCGATGTTTCTAACTTTCTATCCCTCTCCCTTCTTCTCTATAAAAAATGAATAAAATATATTTTAAAAACTAAATAAATAAATAAAAAATAGACCCAGAAAAATATATCCAAGTTAAATGGTATAGCTCTAAAGTATTCTTTTTAATAGCTGCTTATTATTCTACAGTATAAATGTACCATTATTTATTACCTTATTGTTGGGAACTCATCTTGTTTCCTTGTGTGTTTTTGTTTTTGTTTTGGCCATAAGAGCAATACTATAATAATCGTTTTATTGGTGATTTTATTTTTATGGGATAGATTCCCAGGAATATGATTTGTTGGTTGAAGTGTCTGTGTAGTATTCATTTAAAAATATTTGTCAGACTGCTTTCAAAACAGTTCTAAACAAATTACATTATTTTTCTCTTTATCCTGTCAGCAATTTTTCTTTTATCTGATTGGGGACAGAGTAATATACGGCTTTTTATTATTATTTGCATTTTTAACTTTTATAAACTCAAATATGGCTCTCTTTTCTTTCTGGTTAATAAACAGACTGTAAAAGTTGTTTCCTAGGTTTCCTTCTAACTTTTTGATGCTTTATTTATTACATTGCTTATTTACTCCATCTGGAATTTGTTTTTATTTTATGAGATTGGGGACTGACTATATTCTACCAGATGGATAGCCAGTTGTGCCAGCACTGTTTTATTAAATAATCACTCTTTCCCATTGAATTGGAATACATTTGTGTCATATATATTAAAATCTCATATCAACTGGGTTTTATTTCTGGATTCTCTCTTCTACTGATTATATGCCTAGAGTAATGTTCCATATTGATTTAATTAAAGTGGCTTTCTAGTATGTCTTCTTTCTTTTTCATTCATTTACTTGTTTTATTGGGTATTTTCTTTCTGAACTTTAAGATATTTTTATCCATTTAATTGGAATTACATTTGTGTTATTGAAAACTTACCTTATTGCCTTATAAATATGCTTTTAAAAATAAACTTCATTTTTAGAAGTTTTAGATTTACAGAAAAATTGTGAAGATAGAACAGTTTCCATTTATTCTCTACCCAGTTTTCCCTGTTAACATTTTACATTAGTACAATATGATGTATGTTACAATTAATCCATATTGATGCATTAGTATTAACTACTATCTATATATAGTTCATTCATATTTTCTCAGCATTTACCCAATGTTCCTTTTCTCTTTTAGGAACTCAAATTTAACTTGATTTTTAATTCTAAATTTTTATGATATTAAGAAGCTTGATATTCATTTATCCAATCTAAGAAGATGGATGTCTTTTCATTTGCTCAAATTTTTATTTATTTACTTTTAAAAATATATTTTTATTGATTTCAGTGAGGAAAGAGAGGGAGAAAGAGAGGTAGAAACAATGATGAGAGAGAATCATTGATTGGCTGCCTCCTGAACGCCCCCTACTGGGGATCCAGCCTGCAACCCAGACATGTGCCCTTGATTGGGATCAGGAATCAAACCTGGGACCCTTCAGTCCACAGGCGGACGCTCCATCTACTGAGCCAAACTAGCTAGGGCTGCTCAGATTTTTAAATTTACCCTTCAATATGATTTTATAGTTGTCATCATATGCTCTTCTTGCTGAGTTTCTTCCTAAGCTAGGTATGTGCCTTGATCAGGAACTGAACATGCCACCTCTTTTGCTTTACTGGACCGTGCTCCAGCCAGCTGAGCCACTGGCCAGGCCTCTAGCGTCCTTTCAGTCCATTCATCTCCCTATTTATTTAGGTGCTACGGTTGTATATTTCAATTATGTATTTTAAACCTGACAAGACATTAATATTTTTTAAAGCAAATATTTTTTGAAGCTGGGGACTTCCATATATTCGACATTTTTGTTGCTTTTCCCCCCTTCCTAATTCTTTGGTCTTCTGTGTAGGAATATTTTCATTCTGCTAAAATATGTTCTTAAAGTAGTTTATTTAATATGAGCCTGCTGGTGATGTGTTGTCTCAGGTTTTGTTAGTTCTACATGTTTTTATTTTACTTTCGTTCTTGAAAAATATCTGCTTTGCTGTGTATAGAATTCTAACAGGGTAGGTATCCCCCCCCCCAGTATTCTATGGATCTACTATTTAGTGTTCTGTCTCTCATTGTGGCTGTCAGTTTTACACGTTGCTTCTTTAAAGTAACTTAGCTACATTTAGGACGGCAACAATAGTAAAATTGCCGTTTACAATTTGCAATAATAAATATAGCATTAGGCCTGTCCGTTGGTTTAGGTTTGTTTTCTCCGGTAAAGTTTAGTTCTCACATTGCCGAGAAGGCATGAGGTCGGGGTTCATCCAGGGCTGGTATTGCCAGAGGTGAGAGAGCAGGGACTTGAGGGTATTTACAAGGGTGTGACTGTCAC